GGCATTTTTTTTCATGGTTGGCCAATAATATCCATACCTTATGAGCTTGAAGGCTAATGCCCGAGCTCCTTGATGGTTTCCACATATTCCTTCATGAACTTCTTCTAGGGCCTGGGATGTTCGGAAGGTCTAAGGCATCTGAGGTATGGAAGTGTGAGGCTCCTGCGAAATAAAACTTCTTCAATCATGTAATACCTTAGAGCTTTGGACTCATCTTCTTGCTGCTCGAGGACCTTCTGAAAGATTACCATGTTTTATGAAGTCCACTATTGGGTCCATCCATGATGGCTCATTATCAATATCCATGATGCCTACGGCCTGATTAACGGTTGGCTCTGTTACAATTCTAACGTGGACTGTCCTGTCAAGCCCATCTATTCCCTTGAACACCAATCTTGACAAGGCATCGGCCTTATAATTCTCAGCCCGGGTAATTTTCACAGTTTCACAACTCCTGAACTTTCTTTGGAGATCATGTACTTTCAAGCAGTATAAGCTCATCTTCTCATCCTTCCTATTGAACGTCCTTTCAATTTGTCCAACCACCAACTGGGAATCATTGTAAATTTTGATGGCGAGTTCCATGGCTATGATGATGGCCTCATACTCTGCTTCATTATTGGTCGCTTCAAATTCGAACCTGATTACACACTGAATGTTTATAAGCATGTCTGGGCTTATGATTATGACCCCTGCACTCGAGCCCGAGGAGTTTGATGCTCCATCTACAAAAATTTGCCACGTGTATGTGGTCAAGCTCGAGCTACCATCTGGCCCCGAGGCCTTGGGGTGAGTTCTGCAATGAAGTCAGCTAAGGCCTGAGCTTTGATAGAAGGATGGGACTTGAATTCTATGTCAAATTCTCCAAGTTCAATTGCCCACCTCAGTAGTCTTCCTGAAACGTCTGGTTTCTGAAGAACGTATTTTAGAGGCTGATTGGTGAGTACTATAATAGGATGTGACTGAAAATATTGTCGAAGTTTTCGTGCTGCCACTATCAGTGCAAGGGCAAGTTGTTCTGCCAAAGTGTATCTTGTTTCTGCATCAAGTAGGACTTTATTTACGTAATAAATGGGTTGCTGGGCCCTGTTAACCTCTTTCACCAAGACACCACTCACTGCATTCTGAGATACGGCTAAGTATAAATAGAAAGTATCCCCGGGCTCGGGTTTGGTGAGGATAGGAAGAGATTCCAATGTCTGCTTGAGCTCCTGAAAAGCCTTCTCGCACTTCTTATTCCATTCAAAGTAATGATTTCCTCAGAGGGCTTTGAAGAAGGGGAAGCACTTGTCTGCTGCTCGGGACATGAACCTGTTTAAGGTAGCTACCTTGCCTGTCAACTTTTGAACCTCTTTCTTGGTCCTTGGTGATTCCATTGCTGCTAGGGCCTGAATCTTGTCGGGGTTGGCCTCAATCCCCCGATGAGTGATCATAAAACCCAGAAACTTTCCTGAAGCTACGCGGAATACACGCGTCTCTGGGTTGAGCTTCATCTTATATTTTCGCAAGGTAACGAAGACCTCCTCTAGGTCGGATATGTGTTCCTCTACCCTCTTACTCTTTACAACCATTTCGTCCACGTAGGCCTCGATGTTCTTCCCTATGAGATCGACGAAAACTTTGTTGATGAGCCTCTAATATGTCGCCCCAGCATTTTTCAATCCAAATGGCATCACCCTATAACAATATATGGCTGAATCAGCCATGAATGAGGTCTTTTCTTGGTCTTCGTTGGCCATGAGGATTTGATGATACCCTGAGAATGCATCTAAGAAGCTCTACAGCTTATGTCCGGATGTGCTATCCACAAGATTGTCAATCATTGGTGGCGAGTAACTGCCCTTTGGGCATGCCTTATTAAGATCTGTGAAGTCAATGCAGACCCTCCATTTACCGCTGACCTTTTTCACTAGAACAACATTAGTGAGCCAATCGGGGTATTGGATTTCCCTTATGAACCCCACTCCCAACAATTTGCCTACTTCTTCCTGAATGACCACGTCTTTTTGGCGCAAACTGTCTCTTCCTTTGCTTAACAGGTTTGGCCCCTGGGCTGATATTGAGTTTATGGATAGCTACTTTTGGGTCTATCTTTGGCATATCATCCACCTTCCGTGCAAAAACATCAATGTTGCGAGACAGACAATTGATGACTTGCTCCCGGAGGTTGGCCTTGAGATCCCGACCAATAGTGACGGCTTTTCCGTGCTCGAGCTCGACCACTTCCAATTCCTCAACGGGGGCCAATCTATCCTTTGGCCAGAGCTCGAGGTCTGCGAGTTGCATGACGTCAGCACTCATTCCTCGGATGCTAGTAACATAGCACTGTCTAACCGTTGTTTGGTCTCCTCGAACTACTCCGATGCCATGACCTATGGGGAACTTCATGGCGAGGTGGAAAGTTAACACAATAGCCTGGATCTTGTTCAATAGGGGTCTTCCCAGAATGATGTTGTAGGCCATTGGGGTATTAACCACTTGGAATGGTGTGATCTCCGTCACTTGTGTACTACCAGCTCCTAACGTAAGCGGGAGCTCGACGATGCCTTCAGGGATAATGACTCCACCACCAAATCCTTGTAGGGGAGTTTTTACTGCTTTGAGCTGTTTGGGAGAGATTCCCTTTTTGGTGAAAGCCTCCTGCGACAGTATGTTCGTTGCACTCCCATTATCAACCAAAATCCTCCTTACTTCGAAGTTTGTCACAACCGCAAAGACGACCAAGGCATCGTCATCAGGATGTGATATTCCTTCCAAATCTCTTGCTCCGAAAGTGATGTCTTTGACTTCATCATGGGATTCTCTTGGGGTATGAGCATGTTGGTGGGCATACTGCTTTCGCCCACTACTTGTGTCTCCACCGGATGCTATGCCCCCAACGATAATATTAATGGTTCCGGCAGTTGGTTAAGCACTGCTTTCGGCCCCAGCCTCTTTCCGATTGTCACGGTCATTCCTTGGTCGTTTATCATGACCAATGTAATTCTTTAAAAATCCTCTTTTGATAAGGGCTTCAATTTCTCGCGGTAAAGCATGACAATCTTCTATAGTATGCCCATGATCCCGGTAAAGTTCGCAATACTTGCTTTTATCTCTTGTGTCAGGGGGCGAGTTCATCCTTGAAGGCCACTTTAATTCTTTCATATCCTTAAGCTCCATCAAAATGTTTGTCTTAGAGGTATTCAACCAAGTGAGAGGTGCTGATGGCGCCTCGTTCCTGCACTTATCTCGGGGAACCTCATGCCGGGGGACGGGATCATGTTGCCTCTTGTTCTCGGTCTTTTCATGGGAAGGACAAGGTCTCCTTGGATTTAGTGTTTCCTCCATATTAATGTACTTTTCAGCTTGGGTGAGGAGCTCGGTCGCTATCTGCGGCAGGGTCTTTGATAAAGATATCTTGAAAGCTTCACATCTTACGGCGTAAGTAAGGGCGGAGACAGCTGTTGTGATGTGGAGGTCAGATATTTGAAGTCTTTCCTTGTTAAATCTTGTCATAAATCCTCGTAGGATTTCGGTTGGTCCCTGGCGAAGTTGGATGAGAGAAGCCGCGGTCTTCCTGATTCGCTTGCTACTTGCAAAGAAGGCTAAGAACTTATTAGCCAAATCTAAGAATGAGGCTATGGAGTTGGGCTCCAATGTCGAGAACCAATCCCTAGCAGCATTAGTCAGTGTTTGTGGAAAGGCTTTGCACATAACCTGATCCGACGCAACTTGCAAGTTCATGACATCAGTGTATACATTGAGATGGTTGATGGGGTCGATCGTCCCATCATACTCTTTAATGCGAGGATATTTGAATCTGTCGGGCAAGGGATATGTCAATATCTTTGGCATGAATGGAGTGTTATGGGTGAAACCTATTGGCCCCCGAGCATTACGTTGCAGGCCAACTGTAATTCCTTCTTGAATGATCCGGGCAATTTCACTGGAATCCATGACGACCGATCTCGAGCCTGAGGCTATATTATGAATACCCGAGGTTCCTACTCCGCCATTTGCGGGGTTTGGTGGTCGTGCTCGAGCATCGGCCATAAAATCGCCATGTTCCGCCTGCGCTGACGACGGATGTGAATTTCTTTGACTTAACAGTTGCGTAAGCGTGGCCACCTGCTGACGGAGCTCTTCAAAGGCTTCGGTTGTAATGACTGCTGGCAAAGGTACGGGCACTCCCGAGGATTCTTCATGAGAAGCCGGTTGATCTTCGGCAGAATGAGGGATGGGAGCGGATGAGCTTGCGGGAGGAAGACCTGATCATGTGTTAACCATGGCTTTTGGTAGCGTTTCCCATAGACGGCGCCAATGATGCTACCAAAAATCGTATCTGTATATTTCTCGAGCTTGATGATTCTGATTGAGTACGATCGTAGTCTTCCGGTACCTGAAACAAAGGCAACGAGGTGTGTTCTCGTCGCCCCTCCGATGTTTAAGTCAGAAAGGAAATTATATGCGTGAGACTATAAACTGGAGAATAATGAAAAACGTACCTGAATGATGGTCCACAGTTCTATATTTATAGAGGAAGGTAGTGTACTCCTAGTAGGATTGTGTCAGTTGGATGTTTTTATCCAATGGAATCCCGTTTGTAAGGAATGTCTTACTCGTAATGGAATTGTCCAATAAGTGGTGTAAAGTTGATATAGAGTTCTTGGGTGTTTAGGTGTTCGTTTATTAGGCACGTAGGTCTAGAAAATCTATTAATGGAATATGTCCCGAGGACTTATTCTCGAGGACCATGGGGTGATGATAATAGTCGATGAGTTTTCCTCGAGGACCAAAATACCCGAGGACTAGAAAGATCCCGAGGACATATGGCAAAAAGGTGAGGGGAGCGCATATGGAGTCCTCGGGTATACCAATATTGGTATCATCAGTATGTAAATAAGTTTTTGGCGGGAATCGAATCATAGAATCCCTATGTTTTTTGTACTTTGAAGTGCATGAAATCTGAGTTTACAAGGAAAAATTCATCCATTTTGCGTGGTTGACTCCAAGATTACACAAACGCAAACAAATGTCTGTTTTAGGTTTTTTAATTTACGTGCAGCCACCTTACATTATTCTCAATAAATAACATCTTTCAAGTAAAATAAAAAATGAAAATATTCAATTAAAAAGAATCCCATATATTCACACCAAGAAGAAACAAAAACCAGAGACACTTTCGGCCTATTTATGGTGGCGGTGGGTGCGACCTTTTCTGGCCTCATTCACCGCCGGTTCATGCGAGTCACACACTTGGGTTTTGAATTTGCACCCGAACTTCCGTACGAGCGAGTTCCTCCAACCAACTGTCTCCACGTGTCCACCAGGTTCAATTTTCTCAATAGCTTTCCTCATGGTGGAGCACTCCCTCTCCAATTCGTGCACCCGCGCCCGCATGCTATCCATGTCGAGGCGCAGCACTTGATTCTCCCTCACGGCCGCCCTCCACGTGCTTCCCCCCTCTTGCGCGCGTGCCACCATAATCGCTTCCTTTTCCTCTCCTATTCCGTGGTCCGCCTCCGTTAGACCAGCGTCAGTCTCCAGCAAACCCCCGGTGATGGCTTGCCGAAGCTGAAGCTGCTCGAAAAACAGCACCTGAACCACCGTTCTAAGCGGAAGTCTCTCGTTTTGGGCAGCATGAGTACATGCCTCTAATGTTAGTTTCTGGCAATCCAAAACTGCGCAAATCTTTTCTCTATCTGCCTCTGGTATCCATGGATGTGCCTATGTAAATGCACAGAAAATTATTTACAGATTCAATATTCCTTTATCAACACAAAGCACGTATATCTCAATATAATGTTAATCGATCGATGAATTTACCTTGAGATAGACATCAACGGCGCGATAAAGGCCGTCATCGAAGAGTCTGGCATCGTCAGGCAAAGCAATGGCGAGATCGAAGAATTTTTCTTGCTTCAAATTAGCATCAGATGCGATTTCCGATAAATAACCGTCAATTAACTTTCCAACTAACAACAATGCTGTAGATCTTTCTTCGCCTTCAATTCTATTCATAGATCTGTTTTCTAATTCTTCAAGAAAATATCTCAATATTCTTTCCACACAATCAACATCGTATAATGTTTCATTCAAATATGAATAGCTCGGAATGAGCAGATCGTCTAAAGTCGCTTGCTCTAATTGATATCCAATTTTCTTCTCCAGTGATGCTCTACAAGCTTCCGATATATTCAATATATTCGCAGTTCTTAATAATCCGAATAAGAATCTCGTCGAATTTGAAGTTGAATTCGAGGTTTTTTCCACAGGGAGATTAGCAATTACGGTTTCCAAAAGATCTCTCTGGTCATTCTCTGAGGGTACATTAGAAGAAGACAACAGCTTCCTATTTGTACGCGAAATACCAGGAATGTACTTCTTGGCATAGTAAATCAAACAGCTCTCTATGATTTCCCGATTTAGATTTAGAGCTTTCATGGCGAAAATCAATCTTTTGAAGAACGGCAAACTCAGTTGTCCAAGCTCATTTAACCATGAATCCATTCCATTTCCTCCTCTCGTAGCATTAGCAGCTTTTCTCCTCTCACTCTCGACTCCACCCTCGTTGCTTCCAGCTCTGTCATTCACTGGCCATCCAAACAATGACAGATCTGAAGATGCAGCTTTGGAAACAATTGCATCAATACATCTCAGAACAATACCCAGATTTTCTGCCAAAGGCAGAAGCCCTTCACAGGAGGTTAAAGTTTTGATACAGTGTTTGATATTTTTAAGTACTGACTGACTAAGAAATCTCTCTGTCTTGGAAATGAGGTTCTCTTGAGAGTACTCTTCAGTCATTTCCAAGTATTCTCCGGCGCAGCGGAGGGCGGCCACATTGGAGGCAGAGACATCAATTTTTACACCGTAACAAAATTTCGCGGCGGTTTCGAAGGATTCAGAGCCGCCCGGAAAATCCGGGAGTATGATGAGAGACTCGTATTCTTCTTCTTCTTCTTGGATTTCTTCCTCAAAGTCATTTTCACTGCACCGGTTGGATTCAGAAGCGGTTTGGATTCTAGTGATTCTACTTGTTGTTGGGTTCTTCTCTTGTTCTGTTATCAGCTCGTGAAGTTTTCTACTTTTTGACATCAGAGGAAACTGAAAATTCACAGAACAATCAAAATAAAAACAGAATGATTTTACTAGCTAATTCATAGACTAATGATATCGAGGTGAAACCCCGAACGGACCTTGTGCAGGTGGAAAGTCATGTCATCTACTTCGATTTTAACATCACTTGGTAATCCTGTTGTGCAAAACCTTCAAATGAAAAAAAAAAAAGGGGTTAGCAGAAAACATTAACCAAATCTGTGTCTGGAAAAAATCCAAAGGGAAGTAGGATTTTCAGTCACCATGCTTGGCCTTTGGAACTGGATTTTTCGGAGGCCATTCTTTCCCCCCACTAGAAAACAACCCTTAGACGTGTTGGATTAAAACAGATCCTTGGAAAAGGGATTTGACTTAAGCACTAAAATCAGCTGCACTTTCTAAATTTGTCTTATGGAATGATTATCTTAGTAGAAAATCAAGCCAAGTTTAAAGGGGTTTTTTTGAAGGGAGTTGGTAGCACACATTGATTGAAAGAAGGTGAAAGTTAGAATGGACAAAATCACAACTGAGTATTTTTGCAGAAATCGAGAAAGGCAAGTGGGAGATGATGGGTAATGAAATTGGAATGATTTTTCTTCCCCTCTCTTTTTTTGAATCAGATCAGAATCTTCTTTCTCTCTTTTTGAAGGAATTGGGGAGAAGAAAAGGTCTGGTTTAAAAAAAGGAATTGTGACTTTAAAGATGAGGCACACATTGAGTTGTTGCTATCATAATTGTGATCATCATGATTTGTCTGCAAAACACCCAAAAAGATTCATTGTTTTTCTTTTTCTTTTTCTTTTTTTTTTTTTTTTGGCCCCAAATTAACTTTTTGTTATTTTAAGTTGCTACGATTGCATGGGGTCAACTCTTTGTTCATCAATCACAAATTATTTATCTGATTATTCTATGATTTCCCTCAATAATTCACTCGTAATATATGAAATGTTGTTTCATAATTTTTAAATAATTTTATATAACATGCTGATACTATAGTTTTAGATGGTCACACGTGTGCCATGGCCCAGTAAATGTGTGAATTATCTTAATTTCTTTTACAGATTTGAAATCCAATCGGAAATGCACCATCCTGCCATTGCTGATCACATATATACTCTCTCTGTAAATATTAATTTCAAAATTAATGAACCAAAAGGAGATGTATGTTTATACTATTAGGACCATGCTACACTACGTTTGGTAGTGCAACCTCTCTCACAATTCGAGGTGGGGTGGGTTTTTGGGGGGTATTTTTTTTAATCATAGGCCCGTCGAGATGAGAGAAAATGGGAGAGGAGCTGTTCTACCAGGCCTTTTACAGATCTGGTAGAGGAGCATTACTCATACTATTAATCAAAATTCTCCTCAAAATCGCTCATCCATGGATAATATAACTCAATAGTCGAATATTATGCAATCGAACGATAATCAACATAGGGATTCTACTCATTTTACTCATTTGTTACTTTAAAATTTTTTAAACTTCAATCAATCGTCAATGTTTGCATAGCTAAAATGGACTATTAATTAATTGCTCTAAAGGTAAGTAGTGAATTGGAAAGAACAAAATACAGAGATGGTAACAAAAAAGAGCCAAAATAGCACAATCCCCGTGACCATACCGCTCTGCACAAGGCAAATTAGAGTTACATTTTGCAATTAAATATTTATTTGTTGGTCAACTCATATTGACCTAAATAAACACACTGCAAAATATTATTCAAAGAAACATAAATCCCAGCATTTTAACAAAACCCTTGTTTATTTCACAAATATTGAGCTGCTAACCAGAATCAGTGAACCATCTTCAAGTTGTAGATTTATCTGCAAGAAACAAAACAAATAGACCGTATTAATAATTAGTAAGAAAGTTATTTTATGTTAAGATAAGGATAAAGTTACAATTATGGACTGAAAACAGGAAGGATCAGTCTAAATTTGGCTTGTTATGCACTAATCCTTCGCTTGTTGGCCAATTTGGTGGAATTTTTTAAAACCATAAAACCTTGGCATTTTTCTTGTTTAAAGGCTTAAATTGATTATTGAAGGGTACAAATACTCTACAATAATGAATATTTGAATTAAAATCCCTAATTTTATTATGTCGGATTTGAGAATATTTGCAACAAAAATTAAACATTTGGTACGCCATTATTCAAGAATCCAATTCTAACATCAAAACAAATTGAAACGTGGATTAAACTCTTTTACAAGCGGCCCCCCACCTATCACAAGGGGGCAGGTGGCCCACGGCATTACTACCCTATTAATGCAGCAAGGTTCTTGAAACATTTAACTTTCTTGACTCGCACTTCATTGCATCATCTTCAATTCATCAAAAATATATAAACTCCTCGTATAGGGAGAACTGATACTACATATCTAAAATTTTCTTAACATGATATACGTAACATATACAGAAACACAACTCTTGTAATGTATACCTATGGATGTGGTGGTGGTGATTGAAGATGGAGTTGCTAACTCTTGATTTTCAGATGGGATAACAACCCCAGGCCAAGATTGGCACATGCAGTGTTTCCCCTTGTCAATACTGCCATAAAGGGTTTTCAAGTGATTCCCACACCCACCCCATGTATACTTCCCACATTTCTTGCATTCCACTCTATAACACATGATGATTTCTTTTCCTTTGATCCCAAGATTTATTTTTTCTGCAAATTTTGAGGTACTTTTCACTTCTCATATCCGTTCAGATTTTATAGGGTACCATTCACTTCAATATCATCGATCAATTTCGTCCCATTAACCAAGATTTGGCTTTGAAAGTATCGTTTTGTAGATAACGTTATTTTCTATTGTGTTTGTTTTTATTCCTCAAAGAATCCAAGAAATGAACTGATGAACAATGCTATTTATACACTCCGGTGTACACTTCCTTTACAAGAGAGGGACCCACATTTTTTGGTTGGGATTAAATTCAAAAATTTAGTAAATTTTGATAAAAATTGATGAAATATATGATTGAAAAGTTTTGAATTTCATAAAATGTATGGTGAAAATTAGTTAATGATTTTAACTTATACTAAAATTTGGATTTCAATTCCTACCAAACATATGCTTAATTTTTTCTAATTACTTAATTTTAACTAACGACATAATAAATAGATATGTGAAATGAAGTCCTTGTTTGGACTCTATTTTAATTTTAATACACGTTTCTTTTTATTCTTTTCAATTGCACATTCTTTAATAAAATATTATTACACGTAAACTTAAAATTTTTCCTTCTTTTTTTATCACACATTTTTCTTTTATTAAATAAAATACTAATATAAAATATATATTTTTTCCGAAACCTTGTTAAAATGTAACCCAAACAAGGGCTGAATTTTCATGGTTATTAGATAACAAGAACCAAAGTAATAACATAAAACAATCAAAAATTACATATTTCATGCAGTTTATAATTAAAATTTAGTCAATTAATTACTTAGTATATGTTTGAGGACATCCCTACTACCAGTGGCGAATTCAAGATCGGATTTCAGTTACGGGTGAACCTTGATTGTTGACCATTGATCGTAGATAATTAAAAATCGTAATAGCGAGGTCGCTTATTAATATTTAATTAAATAACATTAAAAATTATTCTATATATATATATATAAATGCACTAAAACGTAAAAATTATATATATATCAAAATATAATTTAATACAACCTAAAATATTAAAAAATAAACGATACAACCTTACTCTATAACTGTAAACTTAGGCAACTGCATTCTATGAAATCTCATATTTTGAAAACGTTGAAATATTGCTTTATTCTAAATTTTTCCAAAAATCTCATTCTTCATGTAAACCACCAAATTGTCATTCAATCAGTCATCTCCCAATTTGTTGCGTAAGTCACTCTTTATTAGATTCATAGAAAAGAATATCCTTGCAACACTTGAAGTTGCCACAGGTAATATCAAAACCAAAGTGATCAGCCTATAAACCGATGAAAAATAACAAGAATTTCTAATTTTAATCAACTTCCGAGCTACACAAGATATGTTATTGAGGTGAGAGAAAGCTTCGTCCATTCTCACAAGTATAAGAAACTTGTCATCAGCCCAAACAAAAGGGCCAAAACGGAAAAAAATAAATAAAACCTTGGCATTTTCAATTTAAGTCATCTTCCTCCGCTTCTTTCCCTCTTTCGCCTCTGTAAGACTTCAACTGCAACACCCAGCGGCTACTGAAAATTCTGGTGAACTAGCACCCGACGAGGTGGATGATGGCTCCGCCACTGCCTACTACCAAGCAATCATCCAGAAAATATGAAAAAAATAAATAAATAAATAAAGTGGTTATGGTCGATGAGATCACATGAAAGTTTGAGAAAATTAATCTGTAGGCGCCAGCAGAATCAAACAAATATGTGATTCCAATTCCCAAAGGACGTTCACTAATGAGCTAGGAGGGATCCTATATTTTTACATTTATTCCCCTTGACTTGGTAAACTAATGAAGGGCAAGTTTGACAAAGATTTTAAAAGCCAATTGAGATTAAAAATTTGATTTTGAACATATTTAAATAATTCTTTGAAAGTGTGTTGTCCAATTAGAAGAGCGTTTAGAGTGAATTGACCTCAAGAAACTCTTCTACAAACAGCAGAATCTAAAATAGAAATCCTAACAAACGGACCCTAAATCTTGTCACTCACTGCATTATCGTGTTGAGAACTTGATTTTCAAGCAATTTCATGGGACATTAATCGATGGGTCTTGGACTTAATTGAAATGCTATTTAGTTCATATGATGTGAGTTGAATAAAGTTGTATCATTAAATGGCTTACAAACATGTTCGGTAGAATTAGAATTCTGTGAGAAAAGTTTCTTGGTGTCTTCATTCTCCTTATCGATATAAATCCCCCCCTTGAAAATCTTGTTTTATATAGAATTCCACTCTCTTAAATTGCGATTTTGTGGAAGAAACAATGCTGTTATAGGCTAGATAAGGATGGTGATATTGGCCGTTCTGAAGCTACGCGGAATGAGCTTTCGTGAATAGACATCAAAGTATTGATCGATGATAATTCACACATGTTGATAATTAACAATTAGACATGATGAAAGGGTCCTGTTTGTTCAATTGAGTCATTAGATGAGAAATGCTAATGCGTAATTACACGCTGAAAAGTGAACCTTTAAAGATGGGCACAAATCGAATGATGCAAACCATTCGAAACTCTTGCTATCTAATGATCATATTGAATGGTGCTAAACACAGGGCATCTTATGTGTGCGTCTGAAGGTCTGTCCATATACCTTCCCCATGCTAGATTTTGACATGTATTCATCGTCTTATTACCTCTAAACTAATTGTAAGGCTTGACGTTCACGCCTTCTGCATTTTAAAACCTTGATTTTTATTCACATTTTGTGATATCAACAATTACTACCAATTGAAAGAATTAGTTCAATTAAAAAAAAAAATTTATTCATTTGTAATTATATGTGGCACGAACGAAGATAAAATGACAAGCACATATAAAACGTAATTGATGTTAATATTTATTTGTAATCATGTCAAAAATCAAGAATCACAAAATAATAAATTGATAAATCGAATTCATACCTGCGGAAGTCATTGTTGATATGAATAGTAGTTGTAATAGCAGTCAAGATCTTCCCCACCTTACTCCTCATAAAAGTATTAGCCATCAATTGGGCAAGCTAATGAAAACATATATGGAGAGGAGAGGGGACCTAGCCTAT